ATAGAGACACGAGTGTAGAGGACGACGTTTCGTCTTCAGGTTCTCTACACTCGTGTCTCTATAACAGGCAGTTGCCGTCCATTATTCTTCATGAATTCTCTGCCTAAACAATCTATCAAAGAATAGTGTAAGCTTATTTCATCAAGAAAACTGTGTAAGAATGCATATCATTAGCTCAGTGTTCTGCATTAAAAAGAAACATATGGAGAGTGTTTATCAAAATATTTGACTTAGAAGCACCTCAATTTTCAATTATCCACTTAGAGTATACAATATAAATAAACAAGTGGCCTGTACTCACACAGAGTTGGCTGCTGGTATTGAGGCTATACACAATATTCTGGCATTACACACACCATTACACGACGTCACTGTAGGCTCTGGTTGGAGACTAAGTATGCACACCTGTCCAACGTAGCCGTCACTGTTACATACCCAAACATCCTTTAACCCAAACTGGTTTAGGCCTAATGTTGCTGCTGAACAAGTGAACTGAGGAGTGAAAACACAAGATGTGGTGTCAAGTTTTGATTTTAAGTATGATATTTTTAAATTAATCGTTTATTTTATAATGGGCAAACGTACTTTTAACACAGTTTAATAAAAAAATATCCTCCTCCAATAAAATATAACACAAACACACACACATATACATAACTATTCTAACTGTTAAATAGTCAACTTACATCATTGTTTAGAATTTTGAGGCCTTTTATTTTATTTTTGCCCCCCCCCCCCCCATTCCAGGCTATGGCATAAGTACACAGTATTTTCGATTATTGTTTCAATAACTTATATCGTTTACCCAAAAAAGATAGCAGTGAATTTATTGTTATTTTAAAACAAACCTGTAGTCCTGCCCTAGTTTTGCGGATTGGCAAAGGATAAAGAAACTCTGGGGGTGGTCTTCTATCTGTAGACAATGCTGCAGAAAAAAAAAGTAATATATATTAGAAGAATTCTAACACAAGTAATACGACAGTGACAAAATGTACTTCAAGAAATTTGTTTTGCACAAAATTAACCTCATGAAGATCGACCTGCTTTTTTTTTTTAAAAGAAAGCACAAGATATCATTGAAAGATGTATTCTAACTTTATTTAATTAATGAGTAACCCCGTTAGATATGGTGATCGTAACAATAATTAATCGTATTTTCTCTAATCAAATGTACCCATTCAAACTTTTAACACTGCTGTTAGCGGCACTTATTAAGTGCTAGCTCAACATAACGGTTAGGTCTATTAAATGTATGATTTCAGTAAAATTTCATCTTGCAAATTCAAACCCCACTTTCGAGTGATGGGTTGTATAAACATTTTAAAATATAAGATAAAACCCGATTCTGGGACCACAGTACTAAGAAAAACAACAAACAAACTTCCAAATAACAAGCTGATAAAATCCTAAAATGTAAATATGTATTCATACTGTGAAGTTGTACGTTTTAACCTCCTCAGCTGGCTTGAATGTTTTTCATTTCTCATTGTAATCACTAGCACGTGTTTGTGTATTGGTTCTGGAGATATAACACAAGGGTTAAGTAAGAGTGCACACTCATGATGTAGAGAGGGTGGTAAATTGGATCAAAAATCAGTGAAAATATATATCAAAAGGTAAGGTCTTATAAGGTACAGATAAAAAGAAAATCGTATATAAATATATGTGTGTTAACCGACTTAACGGTTTAAAGGTTTGGAATTCTAAGTAATTATATATTATTCATGCTTCAGTTTCTTCGAAAAAGGAAAATAAGTGCTACACACCATTTATTTTTTACGCAGTTATTAATTATTGGAGAAGATTAAAGAAATGAGATAACTTTAAAATATCTGACCTAGTTTTTGCTTGGCTTCGTTAAAAGCCGTCTCCCAAGATGATTTCTTCTCTGGATTTGGAAATACAATACATATCGTGTCCACTCCTTCCCTGTATAGGAACACAAAAAAATATAAAACAATATAAGTAATGATAAATTATATATATATATAAGTGTGTGTGTGTATTAGTTTTTTTAAAAACGTGAGAACTATTTTTTTAAATTCTTTTTAACGCTATTAGCTGTATCAATATTCTATTCTACTTTATTACCGAGGAAAATAAGGTCGTCTCTTTACTTATTCAAATAGTACTTAGCTTGTAACTGACACGCTGATAGGGAAAAAAAATATAAAGTACAAACTTAGGCCTATATACGGAAATAACGTCGTTAAATTTCTCTGGTAATAGAAAAAACACACAAAAATTTTGGCGCCATTAGTGCGAAAATCCAACAAATATATATATATATATATCATTAATCATAAATACAATTAATTCTGTCATAAGTTTCATTAAAAAGGTGTTCCATCGTTAATTGATTTCGCTTCCAAAGAATGAATTTCGTATCCAAGTAAATGTCATTTTGCCTACTAGATGGCGGAGCAGAATCTATTAAATACTAATATAAGGTTTATCTTCGTATTCTGCTTCATGTCCTTGGTAAACCGTATTTAATCGAGAGATAACAACGAAACAAAAAATTATTGTAACTTTAACTTTACACCTAAAGAAACCCTGATGATATTTTTCATAGTAATCATATCGGTGACGAAACACTGTGACTAACGTAACGAACCATCGTTATTAAAAAATACAAAAACGTGAATATTATCAGCCAACAAGATTAATTTCAACAATTATGAAGTTATAGGATGCGTGAACGATCACTTACATTAGGCGTTTGTCTCTAACGTAAAGTGACACGTACGCCAGGATGTTGTCTGGATCATGGAGTGACACCTACATTAGGTGTGTCAACATCATGAAATGACACATCAAATGTTTGTCTGCATCACGAAGACACAAGTACACCAGATGTTTGCATTATGAAGTGACATAATAAGTGTTTGTGTAATGAAGTTAAACTTTTCTTTCCACCTCAGTTTGAAACTTCGATTCAATTTTGAACATATTTGGTATTTTCATCATGAACAACACGCTACTTCGGCTGAACGACCAGGTCAAAGACCTTTAACTAGTGACCAGATGGAAGGCAACAAGTTAACAGCACCCGCTATGAATCGAATAATGTGGTTGATTGTTATTTTTATAATCCACCCACCGCTGTGAAAATGTGTGTAGGGAAGTGGGGGGGGGGGGAAGCTGGAAGTGAATCAAGTTTGTCAGAAGAGGAAACTGTGGATGTTCAGAGGCATGCTTCTTGAAATATTTTCAATTATTGTTGTTTGTTATGAAGCACAAAGCTACACAAAGGGCTATCTGTGCTCTGCCCACCACGGGTATCAAAACCCGGTTTCTAGCAGACATGCAACTGTGCCACTGGAGGGAATTTGCAATTATAATGGCAAGTTGGGCCTATTTCGATGCAGTGAGGCTAAGATGTGATGGAAATCAGAAGGGAAAAAACAGATAAGATTAATATGAAGGTTTGTTTGCTTGTTGTAAATCACAAAGCTACACAATGGGCTATCTGTGCTTTGCCCACTGCGAGTAGTGAAATCCGAGTTTTAGTGTTAGATTATAAACCCTCAGACTTACCGCTGAGCCGTCGGGGGGAAGGGGGAGCTGAAGAAAGTAAGCAGTTTAATGATCAACTTCCGTGACCCACTTTTGACTTTAATCTTGATGTTGTCTTTTCAATTTCTTGTCTCCAGTTGCCAAATTCATTTTATAATCTTTATCTGTTTATATTATGAGTTAAAAACTTAATTCAGTATCAATTCAATTGGAAAGGGGGGTATTGCCCTCTGTATTGGAAACAGGGGGAAGGGTCTGGACCTCTGTTCCGACGCTTATGCTAAACATTTGTAACTACTATATTTCCTTCCGTTACAGAACAAGTATAACGTAAATACATTTATAAACATGCCCATAACTGACCTTCAAATATAGTCACTAAGAGCAGGCAGAGGATGGTGATCAAGGTAATACATACAGACACAGAAAAGATGAGCATACAGTAGCTTTTCACTTGGAATGCGTTTATTATTGAGCACAAAGCTACAGAATAGGCTATTTGTGTTGCGTCCACTGTGAGTATCGAAACGAGATTTTTAAAGTTATAAGACCTCCAATGTGCCGCTGAGACACCGGGGTGGGGGGTGAGCTGCGCAGATGATAACTGACAATCACTGATACACAAAAATTCGCTCTGTAAACAATGAGATATGTCAAACATCCCCCCCTCCTCTTCAAGCGTAAGAAGAGAACGGCTTTACAGCAGGAGGCTCCTTATCTTGGGCAAGAATAAACTTGTAAAAGTAACAACAGAATGGTTAGGTCATGGTGGTGACTAGTCTTTCTTTGATTTCTAGCATACTATTGACTATAGATGAGTGCGCGCCAATTTTGTAAATTCTTTCTTACATTGTTTATTTTTCTTTAGTTCTAGTGTAGCTTCCTACTTTTTTTTTTGGATGAAATACGATAACATTCAAAGTCAAAGTGAGTGAGTGACGGGTGCTACGAGAAGTTTTTGATAGTCAAAACATGACAGTACAACATACTTCATCAAACAAACTGTTGACTCGTACAAATGTCTACTTATTATCCAGTTTCTGATCTTATATACTTATAATATCATTGGCGTAGAAGGACAATCACGTGCATGTTCGATCGATGTCCAATGAAACCAAACTCAAGGTGGCTCAAAGTAATACGATTCTGGAACATGTACAGAAGAAATATATTTCTCAACAGCAATCTTTAGCTAGATAACAAAAAAATATTCCAAACCCAAACATAAATAATGAAGTAATATGTGAAAAAATAAAAAAGCATCCCATTTATGACGTGAAAGAAAAGACTTATTACTTTTGGGTATAACCTTCAACTTAACAATTTTTTTCCTACACCATTCATTTTCAGTTAAATTCACTTACTGTATCAAATTCAACATAAAAAAAATGTCTGACAAGAAAACAAAATCACCCATTTTTTTGATGTGAAATACACAGAGGAACTTTTGGAATTAACTGCAATATTATTGGTATTTTCATTTACTTTTGTGGCC